AATTCACATGTTTGTGCAAATGTATACATCATAATATGTCTGCGTTATGTTGTATTAGTTTAAATATTCGTTTATACTAAATTGCTGTTTCTTTAAAAAAAAACACACACAAAATAACTTATACTTATATTTTAAATTGCTCAAAATTAGGAATAATTGTTATTACCAAATTAATAATTTCAATGTACGTTTAATTATAATTTAAATACGAATTTTAAAAATAGGCGAAAGCTAAAAAAAAATAAGATTAATTTCTAAAGTTATATGTATTATGGTTAGTGTAAAATTTCGGTTTTGTGACTGTTTAGTTTCTATGAGATGACCGATTCATTTTTTTTTTTTATTCAGAATCTATTTTTTTCAAAATAAAAGGTAGAATGGCAATTTGTTTTTTTTTTGGTGTCGACTACTATTTTTTGAAACAGCGACCCTTAATAATCTTCTTATCGGTTGATATTTAAACAGAACAACGGCGAAACTGCACCCTCAAATCTCACAACAGTACATTAGGCTGAGGGGACAATTGCGCGAAGGGACTGTCATGCGTTATGTCATACTAACAATCCGCCTTAGGAGAGGGCTTTTCTTGGCAAAACCAACAGCAGCGGTTGCAGAGGTGTGACGCTAAAGCCAAAGTCGTTAAGAACGGGAAAGTGCGCGGCAAACAAAGTGGTTTCACTTTCAAATAAAACGTCTTCGCCCAAAAAACGGTTGGCGTGCACCGACGACGGTTTAACGATCTAACAGACACGGTGTGAAAAAATAAGTATAAAAAAAAAATGAGTAACTCCGTTAAACGGTTGGTGGTTGTCTTTATAGAAATAGCCAGAGGGGCTAGATGAACGGGTCGAGATTGTCAGTGCTGTCTTGAGTGTTGTTGTGACCAAACGATGTGTCTCTGTACTTGCAGTTGGGCTCGGTTAGGTCACCCATCCGGGGATAAGGCCCCGAGGCGATTGTTTTTTACTTGGACGAAAAAATACACAGTAATACAATGATATTATAATATATGCGCAAAACAAATTATACGAGAACGGGAAGACTTTTTGGTAATAGTAGTTGCACGCATAACACATCAGTCTTCAGTGCAGTAAATATTGGATTTTAAATAATCACTTTATTTTTATATTTGTTCACTCCGTTTATCTGTTTAAATTTAATTTAATTTCAAGCTTTCAATAAATCGATTAGTATTAGACGTTAGGTATTTCGTTTGTAAACTCAAATGAACTAATTAACTAATTAACAACAATATAGTATGGACATTTAAAAACATTTTACACTATATCACTTCTAATACAAAATTACTACAAAAAACAAGTATCAACTTGTCATGAATTTATAAAAATAATAATACTAATTAATACTGCTTGCTACTTTAGTAATAAATAGTTTTGCTAAATCGCCATAACCTCAATTTCTGGTGTCTGGTTTAGATTTAACTAAGTGGCCTAAAAATAAAAATAACAAACAACGGGCAACATAAATAATTGCAAAGTATTAAAATCAAAGGTTTTTTTAAACCAAATCATTTTGGAACAGTTTCAATCCCAAAATTGACTTTCCTCAAAACTATGTATTTTGAGTTGTAGCACAATCTTGCACCAATAATAATTCCTGTACCAAGATTTGTGAACACATTTTCGGCAAATTTAAAACAAATTATATTTAAGTAATTTCAAGTTGAAACACATTTTAATTAGTTTGTTATCTTACTCGATTTCCAATGGGAAGGCGAGGGAACTAATATTATATTTCTGAGTTTGGCTAAATATTTTAAAATACACTTTGCCAGTGTGTCAAAATAAATAACTTGATCTGATGTTAAAAAAAGATAACAATATGTCTTTCTATCCATCCTGTTGGCATGTATATTATATTAATAAAAAAATACAGTTTTGGTTCAGCTATTAATTGCTGGTACTTATCCATAAGGAATATAATTATTGCAACATAATTGCACTAGAAGTAAACACTTTAATAATATTATTGTATCATCTCGATATTTTCGGATAAAAGTGACATATTATAATCATCTCGACTTGTGTGTACTTATATAAAGATTCTTTTTCCAGCTGTACAGCAAATTAAAAAAAAAACCTTTCCAATACCTTTCAGCACTACCAAACACGGCCTCGTTGTATAATACATATTACTATTATGTACCTCCTATCAGAGCTGTTATGTTGGATGATTTTACAAAAAGGATAATGCCGTCTAAACGACTCAATTTGCAGTAGTTGTGTATTGTACATGGGTCATTGGCGATTGGGTTAGGTCAGGTCCTGGCCGCTCGGCTTACCTGTAATGCTTGATATTATACTTGCATAACCCACTCACAGTAATTACAGAGTACCTAGTGTATTGTAGTTTTTTTTTTTTAGGTTTAACGATTTGTAGATGTTAAAAACAAAAACGAAAATGTAATACCGATAACGTTTTACACCTGTTCAGACGTCTACCGCAGTGCAGTGGATATATTTTTACATATTATATTATTATACATGCTGTACACCGTTCGTCCTCTCCATCAATCATTATTATACCTGTTTTTTATTTTTTTATTCATCCCACATTCACCGAACGGAGGTCAAAGTATCATCTTCACCGTTGAAGTGTAAAAAAAAAATAAAAAACCGGTTTTCAAAATACTATATATTTCTTTTATTTCATAATAAGTAGCTATAAATTTATATGGACGATCGTCTCTAACCGATATTGTACCTAACCGGATTGCATAATATTTTTCTCCTCTGTCGTTTAAGTCTCATTCGCGTAGCTGACTGAAAAGCAATTTTGGGCGGACGAAATAATTGTTTTTTTTTTATACTTTTTATTTCGCCAAAACAGTTTAATTAAAAAAAAAAGAAGTATTTGAAAATAGAAATCGTGCAAAATCCAAAGTTTATTGCGCAACGAACCGCGGAACATATATCTTATAGTGGTCGTTTTTTTTTTTAAATTAGTATGATTTTGTTAAATATTACTCATATATAAAATATAATTTCGGCTGGACTGTTATCATGAATTCCTGGAAACAACATCTGGGCTCAATATTATAATATTCTCGTCAATTTTAGGTAATTAAGAATCGCTTAGAAGTTTTTACAAGTGTGAAATGAACAGGTTAGCCTGTACATAGTATATTCTGTAATTACATTTTATATTTTTGATAATAACTAAATATGTGATTGGATTTATTTTAACATTAACACAATATTTACAAGTACACGTTCAGATTGCAGCAGCCGAATTAAATACAATAATATTTGGTTTTGAACTGCAAATAAAATGTGTTGAAAATCAGTCCGAAAAATGAAGATATAATAATATAACAAACATAATATGGCGCGAAAATCAGATAAATTGTTGACAATGACCATAATGATACCTCCAAAGGGGATAAAAAATAAAAACAGTCCTTGTATATATTTTTTTTTTAATTTCCACTAGAATTATTTTTCGGTTTTGTAATAAATGAGAAAAAATTCGTTTAGCTTTGATGCAACAGGCGAGTAAACAAAGTGGCGAATAATGTTCAGCGGGCTGGCCTATGGGCTATGATAATATTCATGATACTCTAGCATTATCTCCAGCGTTTACACAGAATAATAATAATCGCGACAAGACACCGTACAAGTGAAGAGGTATATTATACACGGTCGTGTTTGCCGTGTATATTATACCTTTCACACGGTCTATCTGCACACGACCTTTGACCCGTTCGCAGGCGACGGCTAGCGGAAACGTCTAACAACGTTCATGTAACACAACTTTGCGCGCCTTTGATCGGTTCCGCCGTCACTTTCTCTCCGGGCGACCGGAAACAATAGCGCGCTCGATCCGAATATAGATCATCATTTGGATCGTAATATAGATCTCTAAACGTGCGGTTGGCACCAAGGTTATATTGTGTAGGTACACGGGAGGGCACGGCCGCGGTTGCCTACGTCGTGACCAAACACAATAGGCACGTCCACTATTGCACTAGTGCCATGTAATCCGGTCGTCGACAAACTGTACAGCGACAACATAACAATAATATTATTATCACCGTAAGTACTGTTAGTTTCGACGGTAATGCATTGTTTTTTTTTTTTTTTTTTTACAAGAATATGTCTTTTTTGGTTTTGTGTCCGGACCCACCTTGTCTTTATTGCGCGTTTTTAGGCGTTGCTTTGGAACTCTTGAGATCTGAAAATCAGTCTGTAGGTACTGTCACAATTTTCTAACTTTTTTACCGTAATCAATTTCTAAGTCGTTACATGTGTAAGCGAACCAACAGATGTTTGAAAACAACGGCTTCAAATCATTAAAAAACAGGCGTTCAATCCTAAACGTATTCACCCTACCGATTTCATCATTTTCAGTCGTTATAAATCCTGTAGACCCGTGACCTCCCCCCCTCCACCCCAATATGCTCCGTTTCCACTATGTCTGTTTTCTCTATGTTTGTGTCTCCTAAGCTGTTGAACCGATTTGTTTAGGTAGCCAATTTGTAGTACAATTACAAAAAAAAATTACTCCTAGAACTCAACAATTTGTAACGCTATATATCTTGAAATATTCTAGATTGTTATTACTATAATATCTTGTCATTTATATCGTATCGCTTATTTCTTATCTGTTACCGCTTCTCTCTTATCTATTATCATTTTTATCTAGTATCTTATCACTTATTTATTATCTCTTACCTCTTATCACGTTAAAGTGGAAGTGTAACGCGACAACGGTGACACGAAATTTCTTGTATTCAGTCTAATAACATTTCAATGATAAAACGACAGCTGTTAAAACCATAAAAAAAAAACAATGTACAATATTCTCGTATTATATAGACCCCAAGACAAGCCAGGGGTGTGAGGGACGGCTATTAATTGGTTATTTTTCCTTTGGTGTTGAGCGATTTAAATATTCTGAACGGACAACGTTTGAGACATGACAAAAAAGCTAAAATACCGACAGTTAAATATTATATTTAATATGTTTTTTGATTTCAGGCCGGCAGAGTCATTATAAGCGGCAACGATTCAGATGAATCCGGGGTAGTCATGATGAACCCGTCGTCTGTGGCCATGGCTAATCGGTTTGTGCGCCAAGACGGTCACGATCACGACAACGGCGTGGATCACAAGGTGCTGCTCAAAGGCATCCGTGTGGACTGCGGCGCTGTGTCCTCGGACAATGCCATTTTTGTAGAAATCGAATTCCTTGAGCCGTTTTACGGTGTCATATACAGCAAGGGCCGTCACGATGACCCAAAATGCAGGTGAGCAGTATGTAATATTCACAATAGACAGGATTATTCGGATTTAACGTTGCAGCAGAAAAAGTTTCGTTTGAAATCCTCGTTGATCCAAAAGCACCATCGTATTATACTAGATTTACCTATGAGAAGTAGAATAATTATGACTGCTTTGGATAAATACCTCTCGGGTCGTGAGTGTTTAGAGACTAACGTAACCCCCAACTGGGGTGAGGTAGACAGAAATTGAAGGAAAGTTGAGCTGGTTAGAGTTTTTTCTATGCCAAATTATTCAATTATTCGGTTTTCATTTTAGACCAAAAAACCTTAGAAAATTACATAATGAAGAAGCCAACCAACTCGTACACTTTCGTTAATTGATTTTTTATTTTTACTATAACTATAATTATGTTCATTATTATCAGTTAATATATTGCTTAATATACTTCGTTAACTGGACAGTTTTGTATCGTTCACAGGTTTGTGGAAAGCAATTCTGGAAACAACGTGTTCCAGTTTTCAATACCTGTAGAAGGTTGCCGTCCGCCTGTCGATACTTCATGCGGTTCGTCAAGTGAAGACAGTGGAAATTGTGATTTGGGTTCTATAGAAAACACAATAATTATTCAAACAGATGATGCAATCCAGGTAAACAGTGGTTAACTGAATCATATTAAAACAAATAAAAATATACACTCGGCTATTCGTGTTCGTATTTTAATGTCAATGCAAATGCATTATTACAGGAAGCGTGGGACTTGGCCAGAAAAGTGTCATGTCCGTCAGAGACCAAACCAGGTGCTGGCAAAAGAGTACGCTTTAAGCCCATTGTAGTCGACATGTTGGAAGTAGTGTCTGTTCCGTCCGGCAATCAAGGAACCTTACAATGTTGGATGGACATACAGCGAGGCCAGTATCCAAATGTGGGTAAATTATTATTTAAAAAGCAAACAATTAAAACACTAAGAAACGTATGTTTTTAGACGACACCGGTAGATAAAATAATCAAAATTGGCGAACAACTATCGTTATTAGTTTATGTGAAAAGTACAGACGAACCATACGATGTTAAAGTCAAAGAATGTTGGGCTTATGACAACGATAACTATGAAGCACCAACTACTACAAATATACAGTTAACCGATTCTAATGGATGTCCAAAGTAAGTTTAACACTATTTTAAAAAATAAACACATTATATTGTTTATAACAAAATAATAAATAAAAACTGATTACCTAAATTACCTAGTTTATAACATAACAATACAAAATAAATATTTATATTCAGTGAAAATATCATGATCCAAAAATAAGGATTCCTTCTTTTCTTATAACATTTTTTATTTAGATACATACCTACATATTTTACTTATGCTTAGAATTTATATGGTATAAATAGTTAATGGTACATTTTTTTTTGTAAAATCTGAATTTATGTGCTCTTATCACATAATGTCTTCATTTATTAATATTAAATATTTTATATTCAAGGAGAAAAAAGTTAATATCAAGTTGGAAGAAACAGCAAAATGTAGATGAAAATGGAATAACTACAATTGGATATACTAATGTTACTGCCTTTAAGTTCCCTGACAAACATCAAGTTTTTCTCACATGTAATGTAGAGGTAAATTTTATTTTTATTTATTGAATATTTATAAACACATATTTTCTTATACTAAGTCAAATTTTAGCTATGTTTGGGCAGTTGTCCTGAAGAACAATGTCAAGCGTCATTACCATCACCTGGAGTAATATTACCTGAACCAGATTGTTATCCTGGTTCAAGAGACCCACGTTGTCCACCACCAACACCATTCCCTACGACATATCCGCCTCAATGTTATCCAGGCTCACCGGATCCAAGATGTCCAAAGCCGTCTATTCCACCGCCGACATCATTCCCTTCACCATCGCCACCTCAATGTTATCCAGGCTCTTCCGATCCAAGATGTCCAAAGCCATCTATTCCGCCGCCAACATCATTCCCTTCACCATCGCCACCCCAATGTTATCCAGGCTCACCCGACCCAAGATGTCCAAAGCCATCTACTCCACCGCCGACATCATTCCCTTCACCATCGCCACCACAATGTTATCCAGGCTCAACCGACCCAAGATGTCCAAAACCATCACCTCCTCCAACAACATATCCGTCACCATCAACACCTCAATGTTATCCAGGTACAACTGATCCTCGATGTCCTACCCCATACCCTCCACAATCCACACCACAAATTCCATTCTGTTATCCCGGTTCAGACGATCCACGATGTCCTAAACCAACTCCACCGCCCACTCAACCACCAACTACACAAGCACCGGTCTGCTATCCAGGTTCAAACGATCCACGATGCCCAAAACCAAAACCACCTCCTACTCAACCACCACCTATTTGTTACCCGGGATCTAACGATCCTCGATGCCCAAAACCAACACCACCTCCCACTCAACCACCACCTATTTGTTACCCGGGCTCTAACGATCCTCGATGCCCGAAACCCACACCACCTCCTACTCAACCGCCTCCTATTTGTTACCCAGGATCTAATGATCCTCGATGTCCAAAACCACCTCCTACACAACCACCAACTACACCAGCACCCGTCTGTTTCCCTGGATCTAATGACCCGCGTTGTCCGAAACCTCCCCCAACATTGCCACCTACAACTCCTGCACCAGTATGCTACCCAGGTTCCAATGATCCAAGATGTCCAAAACCATCACCTCCTCCAACAACATATCCATCACCATCAACTCCTCAGTGTTATCCAGGTACTACTGATCCTCGATGTCCTACACCATACCCTCCACAATCCACACCACAAATACCATTCTGTTATCCAGGCTCAGACGATCCACGATGTCCTAAACCAACTCTCCCTCCAACTGAGCCGCCAACTGAACCGCCAACTGAACCACCTACTGAACCACCAACTGAACCACCAACTACACTAGTACCGGTCTGTTATCCTGGCTCTTACGACCCACGTTGCCCTAAACCTCCTTCCACTCAACCCCCCCCTATATGTTACCCGGGCTCAACAGATCCTCGATGCCCAAAACCAACACCTCCACCTACTCAACCACCTCCTATTTGTTATCCGGGTTCTACAGATCCTCGATGCCCAAAACCGACCCCTTCACCCTCTCAACCGCCTCCGATTTGCTATCCGGGATCTAGTGATCCACGTTGCCCAAAACCGTCTCCAACACCACCTCCTACTACTCCAGCACCTGTATGTTACCCAGGTTCTAACGATCCACGATGCCCTAAACCTTCTCCCACTCCAACTTACCCTACTTATTTACCTCCAACTACTCCTAGTCCAGTGTGTTATCCAGGATCTAATGATCCGCGATGCCCGAAACCAACTCCTCCGCCTACTCAGCCCCCGCCCGTTTGTTATCCAGGTTCCAATGACCCACGTTGTCCGAAACCTCCCCCAACATTGCCACCAACAACTCCAGCACCAGTGTGCTACCCAGGTTCCTATGATCCAAGATGTCCAAAACCAACCCCCCCACCTACTCAACCACCACCTGTCTGTTATCCGGGCTCTACAGATCCTCGATGCCCAAAACCGACTCCTCCACCTACTCAACCACCTCCGATTTGCTATCCGGGATCTAGTGATCCACGTTGTCCAAAACCGTCTCCAACACCACCTCCTACTACTCCAGCACCTGTATGTTATCCAGGTTCCAATGACCCACGTTGTCCGAAACCTCCTCCAACATTGCCACCAACAACTCCAGCACCAGTGTGCTACCCAGGTTCCAATAATCCAAGATGTCCAAAACCAACCCCCCCCTACCACCTCCTATTTGTTACCCGGGGTCTACAGATCCTCGATGCCCAAAACCAACACCTCCTCCTACTCAGCCCCCGCCTATTTGTTATCCAGGTTCTAATGACCCACGTTGTCCAAAACCTACCCCGTCATTGCCACCTACAACTCCAGCACCAGTATGTTACCCCGGTTCAAATGATCCTCGTTGTCCTAAACCATCACCCCCTCCAACTTATCCTACTTATTTACCCCCAACTACTTCTGGACCAATATGTTATCCCGGATCAAGTGACCCTAGATGTCCAAAACCATCTCCAAGTCCTCCACCTACCACACCAGCACCAGTATGCTACCCTGGTTCTACAGATCCCCGATGCCCAAAACCAACACCACCTCCTACTCAACCACCACCTGTTTGTTATCCGGGATCTAATGATCCACGATGCCCAAAACCAACTCCTCCACCCACTCAACCACCACCTGTTTGTTATCCGGGATCTAATGATCCACGATGCCCAAAACCAACACCTCCACCTACTCAACCACCACCTGTTTGCTATCAAGGATCTAATGATCCACGTTGCCCAAAACCAACCCCTCCACCTACTCAACCACCACCAGTATGTTACCCTGGTTCTACAGATCCCCGATGCCCAAAACCAACACCACCTCCTACTCAACCACCACCTGTTTGTTATCCGGGATCTAATGATCCACGATGCCCAAAACCAACTCCTCCACCCACTCAACCACCACCTGTTTGTTATCCGGGATCTAATGATCCACGATGCCCAAAACCAACACCTCCACCTACTCAACCACCACCTGTTTGCTATCAAGGATCTAATGATCCACGTTGCCCAAAACCAACCCCTCCACCTACTCAACCACCACCAGTATGTTACCCTGGTTCTACAGATCCCCGATGCCCAAAACCAACACCACCTCCTACTCAACCACCACCTGTTTGTTATCCGGGATCTAATGATCCACGATGCCCAAAACCAACTCCTCCACCCACTCAACCACCACCTGTTTGTTATCCGGGATCTAATGATCCACGATGCCCAAAACCAACTCCTCCACCCACTCAACCACCACCTGTTTGTTATCCGGGATCTAATGATCCACGATGCCCAAAACCAACACCTCCACCTACTCAACCACCACCTGTTTGTTATCCAGGATCTACTGATCCGCGTTGTCCAAAACCAACACCACCTCCTACTCAGCCCCCACCTGTTTGTTTCCCTGGTTCTAATGATCCACGTTGCCCTAAACCTCAACCTACTTTGCCACCTAGTACTCCAGCACCAGTATGTTACCCTGGTTCAAATGATCCTCGATGTCCTAAACCATCACCCTCTCCAACTTATCCTACATATTTACCGCCAACTCCATCTGGACCAATATGCTATCCCGGATCAAGTGACCCTAGATGTCCTAAACCATCTCCGACTCCACCACCTACTACTCCAGCACCTGTATGTTACCCTGGTTCTAACGATCCAAGGTGTCCAAAACCATCCCCCCCGCCAACAACATATCCATCACCACCTCCTCCGCAGTGTTTCCCAGGATCTACTGATTTTAGGTGTCCAAAACCCACTGAACCTCCTACACAAATCCCACTTACGCAAACACCTTTTGTATGTATCTGTAATCAAACAACACCAAGACCTATTACACCTCCTATATGTTATCCTGGATCTACTGATCTACGATGCCCAAAACCAACACCTCCTCCTACTCAACCACCAACGAGTCCAGCACCAGTTTGTTATCCGGGCTCTAACGATCCTCGATGCCCAAAACCAACCCCTCAACCTACTCAACCACCTCCTATTTGTTACCCGGGGTCTACAGATCCTCGATGCCCAAAACCAACACCTCCTCCTACTCAGCCCCCGCCTGTTTGTTATCCAGGTTCTAATGACCCACGTTGTCCGAAACCTCCCCCAACATTGCCACCTACAACTCCAGCACCAGTATGCTACCCTGGATCTACAGACCCACGATGTCCGCAACCGTCACCTCCTCCTACTCAGCCCCCGCCTGTTTGTTATCCAGGTTCTAACGATCCTCGATGCCCAAAACCAACTCCTCCTCCTACTCAGCCCCCGTCTGTTTGTTATCCAGGTTCTAACGATCCTCGATGTCCAAAACCAACTCCTCCTCCTACTCAACCACCTCCTGTTTGTTATCCGGGCTCCCCAGATCCAAGGTGTCCTCAGTATCCGTCATCTACTCAACAACCACCTACATATTTGCCACCCCTAGAGTCAGATGCAACACAAGAACAGCTATCACAATTACAAGAGCAAAACCAACAACCTCAATATAATCAAGAAATAACGACACAATATACATCTTATTCGGCCTCAGATGAAAACTCCGGTCAAAATCAACTAGATCTTTTCAATCAAGGTACTATTGTGTATTAATGTCTTAGTGATTTATGTTTTAAATGTATTTCTTTTTTAAACGAGAGTAAATTTAACTAACGAATGAATACAACTGTTTTAGCACTCATTGGATACAATGTACAAAGGCGAGACATTTCTTCTGGATTTGAACATCTAAAGTACGAATTAAGAAATGAAATCGGAAATGAGAACTTGGCTGCTCTTGACAACTTAGAAGATGATTTATTGTTCGAGTTACAACAGCAACCGAATTTTAATAAGAAACGGTCATCCTAATCAAATGTAGTGTCTAGAGATTGTGATTTGCTTGTCTACAAAAATGTGGTTATGTTTTATTCGTAATTTGTAAAAATGCTTAGTTAATTTTAATTGCTCAAAATGTATTTGACAAAATTTCGTTACCATCATTTGTTACCACTAAGTATTAACATTATGTGCGTAAGGTATGCATTCATTTTTATACGTTTTTTTATTGTAATATTAAACGATACTTTGTATTTATTAAACTAAACATACTTCTATTACTATTATTTTAGACTTCATTCGGTCAAATATTGTCTGATATCGAATTAAATTTACATATACATGTGTAATATCACTCAGGATATAATATTTTCATCCACTTTTCTTCAAAATCCAAAAAATGTACCCAAACAATTTACATATTTTTCAACTTAATACTACGGCTATCTAAAACTTGTATTTTGCATTATCTAAATAATGCATAATTAGATGTGTCTCTGAAATCTGAATTATATATAACCCGTCGAGTTAAGTCACCAATAACCGACAACATATCGTGGGCTTGGAAACTAGAAGGGTCCTACATCGACTTTAAACAATTGTTCAGGAGATCTTTTTTAATATTTGATTACATTTATTTCATACTTTCACCGAATGGATTTTATTTGTTTGTATTATGCCATTAAATCCAGAATGTCATAATGTATGATGAGGTATTAATTGTTTGTCAAACCAATAAGTTCCTAACCTTTCTATCTGTTAACGACATTTTTAGGCGTACGGTGTTTGGAACGTTTTGAGACTAAAAACATGAAACATATTATGTTATTGTGTCGTCGGTGAAATAATTTTGACGAGGCACATTTCGTTTCTCTAATTCATTGACTGTCAAAAGGAGTTGAATTTACGTCTCGGGGTTACCCGACCAGTATTTTTGTATCTTCCTAATTAATAAGCTAATTTTTTATAATTTCAATTATAAATGCACTTTAGAACCCTTAGCCCGCGACATATACCACACTGCCGGTGCCAAAGACATCGTAAACCGGCGTCGGCGGCGGTCACGTCGACCACGTTACCATGGTAACCGCGGTCCGAACGATTGGACCACGAGAGCGTTGGCGGTCCTCGCGGACTTCTCCGTGTGTCAGTACCGTACGGATACGGCAGGCCGAAGCAACGGCTTGCGTTATTTAAGTTTCCAAAGTTAAGTACGCGCGGCCAAAGTGCGATCCCCTGAAGTGGTGTGTGTAAGAAAATAACTATACATAAAAAATTTTTTTTTTAAAAATGCGTTTAGTTGTTGTAATTTACCGCTAATGTAGAGTAACACACGGATCAAACAAAACGTTCCGGATACGCGTTTGAACTCATTGTACGGCTGTTTGGGATACGTCCAAGGGTAAGTACATAGACCGCATTTGAAAATATTTTTGAAAAAAAATTCCAGTCGTGTCGGGGCATACTAAAAGTGATGGGCTCACTTTCGAAAAAACGCACTGTTGAGCGTTGTAACGCGGTTATAATCACTATTGTATTTTCACGTTGATATACGGTTAGGGTTGATTTTAAAAAAAAAAACTATAGTAACTTATCCATCTATCAATTAACAACATAAATAATATACTATATTTCATAAACTTGTTGTTTGTTAATTCATACTCGCATAGCGACAAATCATTTTACTACGGTCAAAGTATTACACATTCCCTCCTTTTTTTAGGGGGGGGGGTGGATTTCCTCTAAGGGTATAATTTGTTACTGTTTTAACCCATAACTCATAACAACAGGTATAATGAAACTGTATTTTTTACATATCCGTCGACTGTTGCTTCGTTCAATTATTTCCCACTCCCTCTTATTTTTTAAATAAAAAGCAAGTTCCACAAAATCATAATATTTTAATATTTCATCTTGTTATGGCCACACTTGAGATTTACCCCTTCAGTCTAATTTTCAGACCGCAAGTTCTAAACCGCGCTCCAAAAAGGGTAATAAAGGAAAAGTTTTATCCCTCGCGGGAAACAATGTTAATGATATTTTCTTGGATTTTCACCGTACACCGTTAATACCTAAATCGGCTAAAGAATATCTCACACAAGTTTGAAAGTAATTAGACTATTTTTGCCAAAGTTATACCGCGGGATGACATTATCTCACCATTTCTTGTAACCTTATATTCGTTTAAATAAACCACCGAGTTCGGGAAAATATTGTCTTTTCGTTCACGGGCCACTAGGTACACACACATAGAATATTAGTTAAACATATTACCTACCTAATGTCCCGGATGAATTGTCTATCTGCGCGTTGTTGTTGACATTTCAACGGTATGCTCTACAAGTGGGTCTCGATAATTGAATCGGCTGGAAATTCCAATTTGGGACTTGGGGACTAAACTTCATGCGACGTTGCTGTCTCTGCGGACCGGTGCCGGATAAATCTGTACCTACACTAAGTCTCAAAGATTTGGAACTGTCCCGTTCGAATTGGATTTTCGGTCTAAATTTATCTGGACGCTTTGTCTAATGATCGGTTTCAAAATGAAAATCCCCTACCATAATTATAGTTACCGTGCAAACATTAGAGATCACTTTCAGTGATTGAAATTCATCGAACAATATTGTTCCTTTTTTAAAAAATTGTTTTCAAACTTCTTCTTTCTTTACGCTCTGGGGACTAAAACTCCACGAAAAGGTCGTCCTTTACCCAATAAACTCATAAAGCTCAATTCCAGGGGTGTAAGGCTCAGAGATGTGAGAGAATTTCCACGAAAACTGTGATTATCTTTGTTGTATTGTGAATGGAAAAAATTAACTTTAAAGATACCGATTCACTGCCGGATAGCGGCTCATTCCAATGTATACATAGAATAAAATTACTAACTTCACTTATGACTGTCAGGGGAGTGAGGCAAGTGAAAACCACATCCACAAATTTACCCTATCACCACAGATTAAACAAAATCAGATAGTGCATTCCCATTTAAAGCAGTGCAATCGCTGAAAATGTAAACAAACCAAAACCCTCTTCAACCCAGAGAAACTACTGGTAGAAAAGAAAACCCTTTATGAGCAATTATAATTTCAGAATTGAGCATCGTTGAATTTAGATTGTTAAATACATTGTTATCATGGAAACGTTATGCAAATTATTTGATAACATTTTATAGTAAAACGTTTTGTATAATAGTTGAATTTCTAGAAAGTGGTCACAAGTTTAGGAGGGTTTCAGTTATCAGTAAAATATGACGAAGTAAACAATCTAGTTTTATCTAATCTGTGTTATCGCCACGTTTTTACGGATACTTAACTGATTCCCAGACAAGGCAACGATGTGGTTGGTTTTGGAGGGTGAACAGGAAGGTTTCCAACTAATAAATAAAATCTTGGCGATAAGTCCAAAACTTGACAGGGGAGTGAGGTCGAATGTTGGAGGAGACGCCAAAAATGTGATCCTCATAGTTCACTGTAAATAGAATGGTATTTCTTGAAAAATCATCTTTTAGCAGACAATACTATTTTAAATTCCCTTTTTTCAAGTGACCTATCCTTATGCCTTAAGCGGTCTGGATATTAATTGATTTTCTTACTGATTTATTTTTGAGACAAATTAATGATTCTGATGGACACATTACATTTTAGCAGCTCAGAGGGATACGATTTCAGGACAAAAGAGCGGTACATAATATTCTTATCGGACACCTGTGGGGTCGTGTAACGAAACTATATTGTTGTTACAGCCGCGGACAATACCGAGCCTTTTACAACAGGATGGGTTTGTTGGAACAATATATCATGTTGTGTTTACATAATATTATATTGTGCCCGGCACAACAGTTTGTCGAGATTGAAAATTTTCCTAAAAATTGCCTAATCTGGTAAAGAAAAAACGTTTTCTCCAAAATAAGAAAAAATGAATAAATTGGGTTCATTTTATTTATAACTATTTTCAATTTGACAACATTGAAAACATTATTTTACATAATATTCATAATATATTTAGCTATTATTGTTAGATGTGCGATTCTATTGAGTAACATATTTTGTTATCATTTTAAGTCGTATAAAATATCAAATAGGTATAAATGATAAGTTTTTAACAGTTTTTGGTTATGGGAAAATACTTATTTTTAATTAATTGGCTAACACGCTAGAAATACAACAATAAATCAATAAAATTAATATTACAAAATACCTTTTAGGCTACATGACATTAGAAATTATAACATTGTCGCGTTACAATGTAATATATTAAACAAATTGTCTACCAAAATAATTTACAAGTAAAAGATAATAAAACAGGAACACAATAAATGTATGATGATATTTAAAAGTTAAAAGTTATAAATTGTTTTAGTACAAGTCTTGTAGTATTTACTGTACATATTAACATGGATATGTTATTGGACTGGATACAAGAAATTGCATGTCGCCATTTTCGCTATATACATCCACTTCCAGTTAGAGATAAGAGACAAGAGATAAGTGATTAGATACAAGTGATAAGAGATAACATTATTCTGTTCATTTCAAAGTGTTACACTTTCATTGTGGTCATATTAAGTATTATTATTCTCTTTGGATTTTATTTTTCAATTTTTCCTTTTTTTTTTGTTGTAATTTTTCAAACACATTCCAAATAGGTCCGCAACATATTTCATTACTGATTTCCCTCGATATACATATATATATATTTGAACAATGTATGCATTTCAGAAATTCCACTGGGAGCCGTTGGGTGTGGAAAATGGTCTCATCCAGTGTAGCCGGGGACGAACAAAGTACCGACACGCTATTCGCGAGTTTTGCATACAAATTGATTGGCCGGTTTCGCGACGCTAGACTATGATTTATACGCTTTTCGTTGGAAACTCAAAAATGGTTCTAAAAGAATAAAAAATAGGATTCACGCTCGATAAATTTAAACGACTGCTCGTGAAAATACATAGGAACGTCGATGGTTAACACAAAAAAAAAATAAAAATGTTATTCATATGTATTACAACCCTTGTGGTTTTTATAGCCGTTTCGAAAAATAAAAAATAATAATTTCCGAGAGTTTTTATTTCATATAAAAATTTTGTTTCATACATAACCTTTTATTAAATGAATTATGATAACTAAATATATTTGAGTTATCATAATTCATTTAATCCTTTAAAAACATAAATTATAATTAGCTAAAACTAATATGTACTAGTTTTTCATAAAGTATATACAAGAATAAAAGTGTAACATGGCAGTTGGAATAGCGTTTATGGCCAGCAGTATCACCCAACTGGGAAATTCATGGTTTTTTTTATTTTATTAAATAAATCAATTTAAAATGTTTCCAGGCCATTATATTTTGAATCTTCTGGGAGCATTATCAGGAAGTGAGGCCGAGGATAGCTGTTGCTTCATTAGGGGATGAAAATGATAGCTTAGATTAGAATGAAAATATGAGTAGCCAGTTTCAGCTATCTGGTCGAGTGTAGGTTTTTGTGTACATTTTTATTAGTGATATATACCAAGAGACAGAGGTTGTTAGTCGCAAGCAGATAAACTGAAAAGTCTAAATAGTTTTGGTGTTTGAAGGTTTGGATGCGCCCCAGAGTTGTATGCCATAGGACCAGATTGGACAGATTATGGGTTTGTTTAAGATTAGTTTATTGTAGGGAGAAAGCTTATGGTTAAACGAGTGGCCTGAGGAGATAAAACCGAGAGTTGACTGTTTAAGGTTAAGTTTTAGATGTAGGCCCCAAGTGAGTGTTTTGACATAAGTAAGGCCGAGATACTTAACTTTGCTGTGGGAAAGATTTAATTCGAGGCTGCGCAGAGTAAAAGCGACTTGAGCAAACTAGTCAGATTAATTTTAAATGTATTTCAATTTGAATAAGTATACTATAATACGTTAGGGAGGCTATTAAAGAAGACTGTGTGGGAAATGCTGTGAGGTAATAGTATTATTAAGTATACATCTGGTGCCAAAATTGTGGTATATTGGTCCTTCCGCTTTTGCTGATTGTTTTTTAGCTTTGTAGAAAAGTTTTTTGACTGATATCACATTTTAATTTGGTTATTGCTCAAAATACGTCTTATAATTAATTGTTTGAAAGCATAAGACAGTTTTCTTATTCTGTTCAGTCGAAACGGATCATACTAATGCAACCATTACCGCTTATAATAGTGGACTACCGAAAATTATGTAAAAGTTAAGCCCAGCACTTGTTACATTCAAAAATGTTTTAGTAAATGTCAGCTATACTTGTTTTATAGTGTACAATTATTTTTAATTATTTTAACGGTGTAAAAAATAACGGGTCATTTATTTTTTATTGTCGCGTTATAGCTTAGGTTCGTTGTAATTTAAAAACGAAGCCGTTTTAAAATAATACTTAATATAATACTTTACTTTTAC